TCACAGGCGTCTGTCAGTCTGTCTTCTTCAGCTGGGCCTCTGCGGGTCTGTAATGGGAGATTATTTGTCCCAGTATGAGAGAGTTTATGAGCAGAAACAGCAGCCCGGCGATCCAGATGAGAGCGAAAGTGTTCCAGCCCTCGAACTCCAGATAATACGCCGGCGACAGCCACAGCGCCTGCGAACACGACAGACGGCTGCCCAAACCACAGACTCACGCTGTTAGCAACACAAGACGAGGAATATTCATCTCACCTGTCCCACAAACCACAGCAGCAGCAGCCCGAGGCCTCGTCTCAAACCCAGCGTCAGTCGAGGCAACACCAGCGGCAGCAGACACAGATACCACAGAAAATACTGCAGAGAGAAGCACAGCAGCAGACGGTCAGCAGAGGCTTCAGACGCCGTCAGAAACAGCTGAGAGCCGCGTGCGTGCCTGCGCACCTGTGAAGTGCAGACTTTGTTGAAGCTGACGAAGACGGCGGTGTGGATGAAGCAGCAGAAGGGCAGGTCGCGGCGGAAGGCCAGCGAGGACAGCAGCAGCAGCAGCATCTGCGGCAGAAAGCAGACGAGCGCCAGAGCGCCGCTCCAGTGATGCTCCGCCGTCACATACAGCATGTAGAAGTACGGAGAGAAGTTGTGACGGATGTCTCTGCGCGTCAGGTGATACAGATAAGACTCCTGCAGGAAATCCCAGCCGTACCTTCAACACACAAGAAACAACAGACACCTGCTCGTTCTGGACTACCGTTCTCCACGTGTCTCAGTAATAGTGCAGTGATGCTAACCCTAACTCAGATGCACGTCTGAGACACAAGATCTGCATCATGGCATGCTTTTAAACACGGATGAAGGAGGAACTTGATGAGAATTCACGATCGTGACAGTAAACTAATTTCCTACAGAACTAGTGTGGAGCGTTTGGCCGGAAGCTCGAGTCTGAAGGACTTACATGCAGTAGAAGATGAGGTTCAGAGCGAAGAACACTGATCCAGAAACAGCTGCAAACTGCAGCAGATCCCTGCTGACGCACCGGATCAGGTTCTGGATCAGTCCTCGGCCGCGGGCCGGTGCTCCGGTCAGGGACAGAGCGATGGGCAGAGCATAAGTGACCGGGTAGATCTTCATGTGGACGGCCAGCCCGAACAGCAGCGCTGCAGACAGCCGTCTCCTGGACTCCAGACACAGCAGCGAGGACAGAACCAGCGCCGCCAGCAGAGACTCGGCGCTCCCGCGGGTGGACACAGCTACGGTCAGCGGGTTAAACAGCCACAGACCGCAGAGAACCCTCGCCGAGCTCCGGGTCGAGCCGCGCAGAACCAGCAGCCTGAAGAGCAGCAGAGCGGACAGAAGATCACAGCCCACGAACAGCAGCTTCCCGCAGTGAACCCAGCTCAGCAGAACCCCCGGAACCAGAACCAGGGCCAGCAGAGGAGTGTAGCGGTACGTGG